AATATCATCATGCTACTATTATGGGATAGGATGCATAGTGGCGTACAAATGTGGAGGGGGTTCGGGATAAATCCCCCTCAAGGACAAAATAAAATCCAATTTTGAAATGGTTAGAATGAAAAATTTATAGGTCATGAAAATTTCATCAAGTGTATAAAATGTAGTATTTATAAAAATGTTGGAATCACAAAAATATTAATTTTTCATCCGAGCAGGTAAAGATGCAAATAAATGTTTACTATTTGCATGAAAACTATTTTTGGGTAGATGCTAAATATTGTTTACCATTATTAGTAAATTGTCTCTGCCTGTTACCTGTTGTGTGTGTGTGTGTGTGTGTGTGTGTGTGTGAGTGAGTGGGGGTCTATTTTTGTAATGGCATACCCGCATACCGGCGTCGTCAAAATCTTATTTTAATTTATGACTTTATCCCTTATCTCTTGTTTATTAAATTATTTATAATAATATACACAATTGTCCAAGTGTCGTAAATCGAAACCTAATCATTCAATGTACTAATCTATGGTCGTACTGTCATGACTTTTTTATTTCAAATATTATATCAATCAATAGGTAGGTACTATCTGAAATAGTAATCTAAAAGGTTAGTCAATTGTGTGATATAATTTGTTTATAGTTTGTCTTAAATATTCTTAAATCTTAATGTATTTGGTTTACACTAGTTTATTTTTTATTGGTAAATTAGGCGACATAATGTAATCAAGTGAATGTACAAATACGTTAACGTATTAACAATGTTCTAAATACTTAGGTATGCGTAAAACTGTAACTGTTTCAGCAATTTAGTATCTGAGTATCGTATTAATATGCAAACACTTGTTTTTCTTAATTTAGATGATCGATGAGACATGAGTAAGTTTTATGGTTGTACCTTATTACTTAGGTACTTATCACAATATTGTACAGATTGTACCTACTTTATGTTTTTAGTATCTGTAGTTTATTTAATGATTTATACATTTAATTTATAAATGCATAATATGTCCTATATTAATTTACAATTGGCATGTTCAAATTAAAATAAAATATTTATGATTTGATGAAATGTTTATTAAAGGCTAAAGTTAAATTAACAATAATATTGGTTTATGATTTTATGAATTATTAAAATACATGTAGGATGGACTGGTACTAATTATATAATTAATAATTATAACAACTATAGTCTTTGGTCTTTGATAAAACATATTGCTTTGGATGAAACACTCTGATAAACATATGAATATAAAATTATTTAAATCCCCCCCCCCCTTACATAAGACAATTGAATTTACGCCACTGAGTATGTACACTGATAAAACATATTTTATAATGTTTAGAAACTTAGTAATTATAATAATATAATTACGTGAATTAAATCCCGATTCTGTTTTTCTTCGTGCTGCACGTCGAGGGCTATAATGCTATATACAATATACATATTATATATAATAGTAATATGATATGTATTGTAAATCTCAAAATGTCTTCTAAACGTTATATTGATACTTGTAAATTGCTAAACAATCAATATTTATACTTGTATTTGGCAACAACGCACTAAATACAACATTTCTCCATTCGTGGGGTCCGGTTATACTCCATTCGATGTGCGCGGTACATTACGGTAACGAAACGTCTCTTATATAGCTGAGTTTTGTCATATTTTGTTAGCATAACCGCAAAATTTACATAAGACCGTTAATAGTTAATTATAATATATATTATGTGATATATATCCCTAAATATGATTTTCTAGATTAAATCAATGCACTTATTATAGTTGATACATTATTTTATACGGCTCAAGAAGGAGAGAGTCCAATTTAATACCACAAGAAATTATTGATCTATTCCAAGTTATAACTGCATGTAATGGATAATAGATAGGTTCAAAATAACATGAAAATATATTGACCGCTCAAAAGTACCAACTAATTTCCAATGCTGTCAGAAATTACCTGCAAATTAAGATCGAAGTGTTTTTTTCTACTACAAAACGTGTACACATACACGAAAAAAAGGGTTAAAGGGCTGAAGCTCCCCCCCCCCCCGACCCCATTGTCCACATTATTACTTAAAAAGAAATATTTGTCAAGTTTCAATATGCTGTCGTCAACTAGTAAGCAATGACTTAAATTCCTCGTAAAACATTATTTTACACTTTTAAGCGTTTTGACCGAACGAATAATGTTTTATTGACATTTTTAGGAACAAAAACTGAAATTAATCGAATACAATTCAAACGAAGACGGTCTTAACCAAGGTTATCAAACAATTTTAACAAGTTGTATACACTGAAAATTCTTATTAGTACTAATAATTGCTCATCACTTACATTTATCAATTGTGTCTATTTACCCAGTTACCTGATGTAGGTGGGACTGTGGGAGTAACAATAATTTATTAAACAAGAACAAAAAAACATCTAACTTTTAATATTCTTTAATCTTTGTAATCATTTTTAATATACAGTTTTGAAGATTGCTATCTTAAGCAGAATAAATAGATTTATCACTGTTATCTGAGTAAGTACCACAATCTTAAATTGTAAATAAACAGGGCCGAACAGCTCAAACCGCCTTCAACCGGCTCTTGTAGTAGGTATGAGGCACTTATATTTGACGATTGATGAGAAGCAACATGCTCAGCTTTTTCCTGACTTATACCTTCATCGGCCTGAATAGCCGCATACTGTTTTATCTGTCATAGTACATCATAACACATAAAACAATTTAAGTTTTAAAATAATAATTTAATTCTGTTATTTTTAATATTAATGAAATTTATCTTTACAATCAAATTTAATGGTGAAAATATTATTTATCGCCCCATGTAGACTTTTTACAATATCTAAATCTTAAACAAAATTTTATTTATACATAATATATTTAAAACAGACCTAACATAACATTCTCGTATAATTTACAACATTCGGATATGACAACGTTGATAGGGTGTGCTCTTAATATTTAGTCTTTTGGGGACCTGTGTAAATATTGCCTACGATTGGATAATAGATATTATAATTTATTGGCTATTTTCTGTAATTTACAATCTATCTATAATTGGGTTCGAACCACCTTGTCCTACGCCTTCATAGGACTTTGTCCCCACTGTTATTTTCTATTCTGTCTGTCCATCTGTACTCTAGCCGGACGATTCGACTGCTGAAAAAATATCTGGAAATGGGAAAACAGACAAAAACATAGATGTATTACCATAAAAATTTTAAAAGATAAAAAATAAAAAAAAAAAATACAAATACGAACAGGTAAAAAAAAAAAAATGTTATGTTATGTAATGTAAACATTTGTCAATATTATTTTCCATTGACGTAATTTTTGCAGTCTAATTTCGTTAGTTGTTGACGTGTGTGAAGTTGGCCCCCCGACTGTCCAATTTACATCAAACCAACCTTAAAATTTAGTAACCTTTTACCTTTTACTTTTTAGTAACTAATTGTAACCGACATCAAACAATTTGTAACCTGCAAACAGTTTCCGTGAAAACTCAATGTCCATTTGGGAGGGGGGGGAACTTCATGCAGCCCCCCCTCACTTTGTCATATCAAATAATCATTTAAATTGTTTTTGAATGGTCCAACATTTTTGAATCGTTTTCATATTTTCATATAAAACGAAGTTTTCGGAAACTGTTTGGTTGCAAATTGTTACTAAAAGGTTGGTAAATTTGAGGATAGGTCTGATGTCAACTGTACAAAGTCGGGGGGCCAACTACACACACGTTAGTTGTTGATTATATTTTTGGTGGCCAAGGTTGCAGAACGATTAAGTACCTCCTAGTTCCTACCTGGGTACCTATTGAGTACCTACCAACGTCGAAAATAGTAAATAATAATAGCTACAATAGTAGGGTTGTCATTTATACAAAAATACAAGTCGGGACACTATAATACCCTCCCCCCCCCGCACAACACATTCTTTGGAATTTTTAATAATACCTTTTTTAGTCCAACGTTATTTAATATTTTTATTATATTATAATTTAAAATAAATAAGAAAGTCTAAAATTAGAAATAGCACAAAATGTAATAATAGTATTATTATTATCTTATTCATAAATATAATTTTAAATTATCTAAAAAAATTAATTAGGTACACAATTTTTAATTTAAAACAGAGTGGTCTTACTTATTTACTAATATGTGTATTGTTTAAATCTTATTTTAAGAAACCGGTACTTATCCACGTCCCGGCCGGGAAATGAAAAATATCGGGACTCTGTAGTAAAAACCGGTAGTGTCCCGGTGAAATCGGGACGAATGGCAACCCTATACAATAGCTACTATAGTAACTATAATAGATCTAGGTATAGTGATTGTCTTGCTCCATATTGGCTATCGCTAAACAATTTCAGAACGGGTACAATAAATTAGGTACATTGCTAGAATAAACACATTACGATTTACGATAAGCTTTTAGTTATTTTTTCTACAGTTATATTGTTTTCCAACGAGAAAGATTGCTTTCACAGCGGCTCTCTTTTGCTGTCAAGGTTTTTCATCATCGATGTTCATTCCCATTTCCCGTAATTCCGTGTGATAAACTCTCTTGGCATAGCGCCATAGGTAATATTATCTATTATTTTATTATCTGTGCGTCTGACACTCTAATTACCGAGCCAGTAAGTACTGAAGACTGAACCTACGCAGTACGTCTAGATGTGTGATGCATGCAATACAAATATATTATGAGTTGACGTTGTTTTATAGGAGGAACATTTTTTGTTGGATACTTGGATACCATACTTCATTATTTATGTATTTTTACTTCAATACTTAATGATTCTTTGATAGGTATAATTAGTGTACTAGTAAGTCTTACGATGGAAGATAATAATATGACCGGCAAAAGAGGTTGGCAATACTGAACTTACGCGCTTACGTCCCGCACTCGGCACTCCTGTACACACAAGTTGAGAACCCCTAGATAACAGCGTATGGAATAATGATATTATTGTAATAAATATACCGACCCACTCACACATTCGTGTTTATGTATATGCATTATAATATATATATACCCAAGTATATTTATGTGTGATATTAATAAAAATATCGGTTGGATTTTTTTCGCGAAAAACCAATATCGGATATCCATCGGCTGTATAGTATTTTTAAAGTATAGTTGGTGGTTTATGCCTTAATAGTTTATGGTTATTGGCTATTCTAGATCCACTACAATATTATGTCAGACCGCAGTTCGTTACCAAACTGCCGTAAGACATCAACATCAACAACAACAACAACAACAACAACAACAAAACTACAAGAGCATCTCTAATTAATACCGCTGCTTTACGAATGTGACACTGCTGCAACAGCCAGCAGTGATTATTGGCTACGAACGGAACAATTGACGATCGCCGGTGTCGCCGACTTGACCCCATCCGTTCGCCGTTGCCTATAGCTTTTAAGATTAAAACGATTGAGAAGTCTGTCAGAACGCTGGTGAGTACGTTATTGTTCTTCTCAGTAACGACGACAGAGCAGCAGCTATTCGGTACGGTTTTCTCTCGACGCTTATCATATCTTCCAAGCTCGCAGTCATTGTGGAGTCACATCGGACGTGCCGGTTAGCATACCTGTACCTGACACTCACGTTTTCGTGCTTCGTCGTATGTGGAGGGTGCGCACGACATGTCCAAGAAGAAAGATCACGAGAGAAAGAGTCAGTGGGCATGGGCCGAAAACATTCACCCAAACAACATCGAATTCGACCACATACTCAAAGCATATCGCATAGGATTACCCAACTGCAAACCTCTCTCTTGCCGGTGAGTTCAACCCTTTTGGTCGTACATCAGACCTTTGTTCCATGGTTCCCCAGTCAATGTTTATCATAACAATCGATTTTACTTATACCCCTATTCTTGATTCCATTTGAAATCTTTGTGTTGTTCGTATCAAGTAGAAAATTATGGACTGATAATACTTATTATAACTTTGAACTGTGTGACTGCTTTGTTTTGTTTTGACTATAGCAAGTTTATAGCAGTAACTTGACAGCAGTCATTTGTTATATTTCTTTAATTAATAAAGTTGAGCATTTCTGCACTGATAACAAACTTAAGTTAAAGATTAAACTAGCCGTAACATTTAAAAAAAATTGTATACAATTTAATAACAATGTAAATTAAGTAATATTACCAATTTAATTACTGCTTATGCAGTTATGCACGACTTTCACACCTTGAATAGACAAATATAGTACACTATATTTAAATAATTTAAATTAAAATGCAGGTACTTACCTACATTTAAATTAAAAATAAAATTGAATGTGCACTGTTGCTATTGATTACATTTTAAAGCAATCATTGCATTTAGTATAATTTCCATGTAAAAATCAGTTCAATAATTTAGAGATGGATTTTGATTTGGGTGGAAATAAAGGTAACTAGACATTAAAGGTGGAAACACATTGTTTGGTTTCTCACAGAATTCTAACTGCAGCAGTAGACATTTTCCTTTCATTTAAATACATCATTTTGTATTGAACCGACCATACTATCCTAAAATAACTGCTACAGCTGTCATGAACCGTAGCATTTTGTGGTCGACCTGGACGGCTTATTACCGCTGTTACTGTAACCGGACAGTCATATCTAAAACATTTTTGAAATCAATAATAGGCACAGTCAACTAAATAAAACAGACTTGTTTTGTTTGACATTAAAAAAGTCATCACTTTTATGTACATAACCCGGGAAACATATTTAACTAAGGTTATTTAATTGTTTTAATTGTACTTTTTTGGTTTACAGTCGTAATTGTAAGAACAATCCTTACTGTCTATCTGGACTTGGAGAACAACGTTGGCTTCAAGATAAAGTGCGCACACCTGTTAATGACTATGAAGATCCAGAGCTTGAACGGCGACAAAACAATAAATTTGTTGGTTTAAAAAACTTGGGTGCAACATGTTATATCAATAGTCTCTTACAGCTGTGGTTTCATAACATTAACTTCAGGTAAATATCCATATAGCCATTTAAGTTAGTGTTTTATGTTTGATTTTGATTAAATATCTTATATTATATAAAAAAAACTTTACTTATAATGTTATTATAGTAATTATGTTGCTATTTTAATTTACAGAAAAGCAATATTTAACTGGAAACCAGAAGAAGATTCAACTGAAAGTCAAAACAAGTCTCTTTATGCTGAAAACTCATATGTACCAGAGACTAGTGTGGGTCATCTACAGTTAGTATTTGCTTTAATGCAATTTGGTAAACAAAGGTCAGTAGATCCTGAAGATTTTATTACAACTTTAAGAATTAATACTGCTCTTCAACAGGATGCTCATGTAAGTTTTTTAGTCAATTTATATTGTGTGATTATAATTGATACTAATTAAATACAATTGTATCACATTTCAGGAGTTTTCAAATTTGTTCCTATCAGTCTTGGAAAACAAGTTTAGTACACAATCGGATGCCTCTGTCAGAGATATGGTTAGAGATAACTTTCTTGGGGAATACAAATATGTTACTACGTATGTACTATTATTGAAAAAAGTCTACAATAATCAATAAATATAATATTTATATGTATAAATATATCCATTTTTTATATATCTAGGTGTTTAAAATGTAAAACTAAATCAACACGCCCGTCAACATTTTATGAACTTGATTTAAACATCAAAGGTCATAAAACGTTAAATGAAAGTTTGCAGGAGTTTTTAAAAGAAGAGCATTTAACAGGAGATGATCAATACTATTGTGATCACTGTAACTGCAAACAAGATGCTGTACGAAAAATATGTTTAACTACTTTACCGCCTGTGCTTAATATTCAACTAATGCGTTTTGTTTATGATAGGTATGTTTTCTTGTCAATATTATTGTAACGAATATTAATATCATATTCAATTTTTTTTAGACAAACAATGCAGAAAAAAAAATTAAACACATATATACAATTTTCGCAAACATTAGATATGGCTCGGTATTTAAATTTACCGGTTGAACTTGATGAATCATCAAAAGAAAATCATTTATATAATTTATGTGCAGTTCTTATACATAAAGGTTCAAGTGCATATTCTGGTCATTATGTTGGTTAGTGTTTAATGTTAACATATATAATTGTGCGACATTATAAAAAATTTGTGTTTTTTTTTATTGCAGCTCACATCAAAGATATTGCCGCCGAAGAATGGTATAAAATGAATGATGAAAATGTTGAAAAACTAAAGGGCAAGGGTTTAAATTTGTGCACTGAAGACGAGTTTAAGTTAAATGGTTCAAAAGTTACTAAAGCTCCCAAGATTCAAAAAGGTATGTTACAAACAAACAATGCTTATATGTTGGTTTATATGCATCATACCATGATTACAAAACTAAAAGCCGAATCATCTAACTGGGAGTTGTCACCAAGACTGATTCACCTTGTGGAGGCTCGTAATAATAACTTTGAAAATACAATATTAAATATTAAGAGTAATCGGGAGTATGTAGAAGACAAAGATAAAGTTTTTGTTGAGCAAATGTTGAATTTAATAACCGAAATGAACTCTGTATCTGTAAAAGAAAAAAAAAAAGAAGCAATTTCATTACAGTGGCTTAACTATTGGTTTAAAATCACACCAAATCAAAATGTCAAGGAAATAAGCAACTGTGCAATTTTATGCAAACATAACTTACTTGACCCTGATAAGGTGCATGAAGCCAAATACATTGGAACAGAATTAGTACGTATGAATAGACTTAATATATGATATGTATTACTTGATGTTATTTAATTTTTTCTTATAGGCTGATAAATTGTATGGTATATATCAAGGGGGTCCAAGGCTCAAATTAAATTCATCAATGTGTTGGAAATGTGTAAGAAATAAATGTGCCTTGTTATACACCAAAACATTAACCGCTGAACAAAATAAAACTATCACCACAGTTTTACATAGTTGGAATCCCACTCCTAGTGTAGAGTGAGTATTTTTAAATTTAAGTAAGAAACAGATTTTTATTCTGTTTAGAATTATTATATTTAGGAAATATTTTATTCTGCAAATAAAATAATTATCATAAATTATATTCATATAACCATCGATGATTAAATAAATGGCTAAAAAAGTATATCTACAAAAAACAGAAGTATCAAAAATGTTAATTAAAATACAAATAATTTTAAGTGTATGGTTTTTTATGTGTATGCCTTTAACAGTGGTTTTTCATCTATATGTAGGTAATAGTCGATAAAAGTTAAAAACTTAAAAAATTGAATACACACTTTATCAGAATTTATAATTTATTAATAATTTTTTTTTTTATTTATTCATTTTATAATTTATATCCATTCATAAGTTATAATTTGTTTTAATTTACACAAATATATACAGAGTTAAGTACAATAACTTGAATAATAAAATATTTTTAATATTTTTATTTTATTTGAAATCCAGAAACAAAATAACCATAGTTGTGTATTGTCATTGTCAGTTGCGAAAAATCATTGTGATCAAGGGGGGGGGGGAGCACTAATTTGTGCCACTGGTCATATTGGTATTATACATTGTTGTAAATAAAATACTTAATTCAAATTTGAACTGACTTAAAAGAGTATCTATTTTTATCTTTGTTAAATTTTATTTTTTTTATTTTGCAGTGATGAAAACCATGAAAAAAGTTACTGGGTTGGAAAAGATTCATTAAAAAGTTGGCGACGAATGTACTTAGAATTGTTTGAATATTTTGTTAATAATCATGATATACCCCCAAACACGGCACTGCCTCTTAATCCAGATTTATTGTCAGTAGTATGTGATCCATCAAGCAGTTTTGTTGAGGACAAAAAATTCTTTAAGCCCAAAGATAGAAGCCGGTTTATTAAAATGGAAGGAATAACATTGGAATCCATTGATGGATGTCGGAAACTTGCTCATATGTTTGTTAACAATTCAATATCGATTTTCAAAATTCTAAAGCTCAATGATTTCAAACCATTTCATTATTCCTTATTGGAATTAGAGTCAGTCTTAGAAGAAATGACTAATATATTGTCTTCAGTTATTGCTAAAAAAGTTAATGATGAATTAGCTAATGAAGAGAAAAAATATGATAAAAGTAAAATAGATAATTCAAAAAATATGATAACTGAATGCTTAATTCCAAATGAGAGTGAATCAAAAACAGACGATGAGCACAAAGAAGATGATGTGGAGGATAATAGTCATGAAGAAAAAGATAAGCACGATGATTCTGATTCTTTTGATAACAAAAATGATACTGAGTACATGTCATGGGGATTCAATGAAGACATTACATGTTCACATGGTAAGTTTATAGTTCAATTTTTTGTGCAGTTTTTACTAATATGTAATGACTTTTTTTTATTTTTGATCACAGGAAACTTGACTATTGAAAATAATACTAGGAGATTGGTTCCAGAAGTAGTAAAAGAAATACTTCATTCATACTTTCCTAAAGCACCAATATTTTCCAATGATATAGAACCATGTAATGTATGCCGAGTAAGTAGAAAGATTTTTAAACAAAATCATATCATGATCCATATTTAATTTCTTTTTGATTTAAATAATAGAATATGCAGAGTCAAGATGAGATTACTAAAAATCTACACAAGCAGTCTGCTATTTCCGAAAAAGAATTGCTAAGTGATTTGCTGTGGAATAAAAAAAGACCTGTTCCTTCACAGGAAAATTCTCCATATCCCTGTGTTTCTAAGAATTTTTTAGAATCTTGGAGAAAATTTGTGAGGTAATTAAAAAATTATATTATCTAGTTTAAATTTGTTAGCTGGTAACAATTAAATTGTGCATAACACATAATATTAAGGTTTAAAAGATCTGTTTAGAACTTCTAAGATAATTGATATATTGGTCGATTTATGTTTAAATTTATTTACTCGATACTATTTTCTAAATCATTTATAATTTCCTTTTCTAGAATTTTAGCTATTATATTAATTGTGTAAAATGGATATATGCATTAATAATTTTTACAACTTATATATCTTTATTTTAATTTGTATATTGGACTTTGACCTAGGTACATTTTGAATTAAAAAGTGCTATGTAATGAATGAATTGATTTTTGATGTATTTGGGTTTTTTAGTTATTAATGTGATGGTGATTTTGGTAGAATTAGTGCTTTAAAAGTATTAATCAAAATTTAATGGATTAGACAATGTATTATGACTATATTTTAAAATTTTATTTTTCAATTTATTAGCGTAGGAACTAATACATATTTTCAAATTTGTATTTTTTTTAAATGTTTAGATTTAGTTGTAGTGTACAACTGATTTGCAATTATTGTTACTTTTGTATCAATTGAAAATAATCCCTTTTCTTATATTATATTTTATCAATTATCTGTAAATAAATGTAACAATGCATTAAAGATAAACAAGGCAATTATTTTAATAGTAAATTATCAATTTCTTAAAATATTCAGAACAATTTAAATAAAAAAAAAAAAAATGTAGAATCATAATTTTTATATTGTACATTGCCTTTAATTTGATATACTAATAATGTGGAAAACATTGACAACTTTTGATTTTGTATGGCAATTTGTATTTTTGATTTTATATTTTAAATATTTCTCAATTTATTTCGAGAGTTAATTCATATTTAACGCTTAAAACTTAAATGTGCAGGACTTTCAGTTTTACATTTATATGCTATACATGTCTATAGTAACATTAATTAAAATGTTATGTTTTAGGGTTAAGACTTCGAATGTGAAAAATATATAAATATATAAGGATTATGCATTTAATGTTCAAATTTGATAGACGCTTAATTTTTTTAATTTAAAAACGAACCTGGAAATCTGGAAGAGCTTATAGAGATTACCCAATAGCTGATAATTAACTAATAATAACGTCTATATCTAAATTGATGCTTGCTGTTGATAATACAACTTTACTATTCTAGACTAACTACACAATTGCATTTTTTTTTTTGAGAACAAAAACCATTAATTAGACTAGTCGTCACGTAATGACAGACCTATTCGAGTGATCGATCCCGAGTGAAGTGGTAATAATGAACGCACACTGAAGTTACACATGATTCTTCATTATCTACTACACAGCCCCTAGTGTAATTCTTTACACATCTCATCGAACATCGCGTGAATGACAGCCTGTAGTGTCAGTGACGAATAGCTACACTATCGTACTAATTGTGTGAAATATATCAATCTTAATCAATTTTCTTTGCCGATAGTACAATCTTTTATGAAAAATATAAGATTCTGTTTGTAGTGTTTTTCTTAAAAAAAAAAATAAATTTACTTATATCCGCGCGATAAAGAAAGGGGACCTAGTAAAACGCATCATAGCTAAAAGAGAGTCGGTAAATCGGGAGGTGGGTGATGGGGAGGATAGCCAATAAATCAGATTTCAATTTTGAAGGGTAAAAATAAGAATGATTTGTGGACTGAGCAGAGTCAACAACCAATACAAAACCACAGACTGTTGCAATATAATACTATATATATATACGTGCCAGAGTCCAGGTCTATATATATACGTAAAAGTAATATAAAGCGCATTAAATCTCCATGTGTCAAAATATCGTTCCCGAAAAACGGTGATATCTGCCCATTCGGCAAATTGTGAACGTGGACAACTGCAGAATAAAAAATAAAAAAGTTAAAATAAACAAAACATATTTTTTATCCAAATGCTACGTTGAGTTTCTATTAAATAGCGTTATTATTATATTATGTGATATTATAATATACTCCTAAGAACTATACATATTTTTATTTTTTCCCCGTTACTTATTCGCACACTGATATTTGAGATAAAAAAGTTATTTAAAATCTAGGTACTCCCAGCTATATTCTGCATAGTATTTTTTTTGCTGAATATTTCCGTCTATACTTCAATTTAATACTATCTATATTATAGCTACTTAAACCTGATCCAACATTAAATGTATTTTTTATGCTATTTATACGTATATTATATGTGCCGACTTAATTGCTCCATAATTTTCCGGTTTCTGGTGCGCTCACGGAACATCACATTTGAATGAATTGGATAGAATGAAAATATTATGTTCTTATTTTTAATTAGCTTACTAAAAGGGTTATCTGCCTTTTTTCGCTTGTAATTCCGTTGACCAGGACCCGTAAAAATTTGATATTCGCATGGCACTTGTCTAGACCTGACATGCCCTCTTCCCCATGTCCCTGTTCTAACCCGTTAAATCCTTTAAATTCAAAGGATTTATTTTTACGAGGGTCCATTGCCACCCCTGGAACATGTGACGTCTGCCCCTGGATTCTACTTGTCAAAATGACATTCTCTATATTCATCTAGCATAACGAGTCTAATTTTACAAACGCCCGTCGTTTTATAATAATTACATGACTTTATTGTAATAGTATCAATTATCACACATATTATGTACTGTGTAGTAACACAATTCTTCCATTTTTATACGTACTTTATCGACACAATTCGCATTGTTGGGTTGTATGTAGAGAAAGAGTGCTAGCCTGTGTTATTAAAAAATACTGCGTACTTAACAAGTCAATATAACTCAATATGGTTGTATGTTTTTTATAATATTATATTGTGGGTTAAATGCGTTTTTAGATATCATGATAGTTTAATTTTAATAACTTATTATTTGTTAAAATCTGTATAATATAGTGTACGACTTATTTTGATGTATTTTATTTATTGTATGTAACGTAATTTACAAATCGTGTTGCACGATTCTTTATTATTTTAAACTCTAGTTCATACTTTGTAAAAAAAAATCTTGTGACAAGCTGGAAGGCTTCTGATGTGTCACAAAACTATTTATTTGTTTATTGTATTTTTTTTTTAAAGTTTTACTGGTTTATAAACTCGCCAACAATCAATGCACGGTACAGTGGGCCGGTGCGGAAAATCTGATTTAACAAGCATGAATAGCTTTTAACCTTTCGAACTTCTAACCAGCTTTTCTTTACACTTGGTTCACATTGAATAAGTAAAATTCTTTCGAACGGTCTCTCAGTCTCTGCTTCTCTTTTCTGAGAGTATACCACCGGCTCTGATACTCATTGTATTGTGATCGGAGAACTATTAAAGCGGACTTTCTGGCGGCGTAATATAATAGTTATCGAGACGACGATGTCGCGTCGCCTTTAGCGCCCCTTTACCCCTCGGCCTCATCCACATGTGCAAGCATGTATATAGCTTTCATCACCTCAAGCCGGTATAATTAATCAAAAATGTTGTTGGAGGACAATGTGATGCCGCAAAGGAGAGGGAACGCCTTTGGTGTATTGTTATACAGGCATCGTTATGTGTAATTAATAATTCACACTTAATTAGTCAGAAGATATTCGGGTTGTGGTCAGAGAACCATTGAGAGGAGGGACACGTCGAACAATACTTGATGAAATTACGAGCTGCCTTCTCTCTGCTGCTTGACGACTTTTCATTTTAAGAGCGGCGACGAGAAAAGGGCCTTTCCCAAATTATTAGACGGTGTATAATAATTATTCAAAATCCGGCGTGGTGCGTGGCTAAGTTTTTGTGTGTTCGTTCGGACGTTAAGGATCGTTTATAAATTACTTTATCACCGCGCATACACAAAGGGAGGCTGTCCACTGGCCTGCAAGTGAGCGTGTGTGTGTGTGTTGTGGCGGCGATATGATTAAACCGTTTCCGAACGTTAAGCGTGAAAGCAAGCAGCTATATCTTTTATCGGGCCGTGATTACAATATAACAACAACGGGCGACGAGAGAAAGAAAAAAAAGGCGTTGCGTCGTTATTTGTGGTGGCCGATGGGTGTATAATATAATAATTTGACTGATGAAAAACACGTTATAATTTTGCAATATTTAATCACGTCAAATCAGATTTCATTTTAACCCCCGTTTTTATTGGAAAACATGCAGTCTACTATCGAATTATATTTTCGGATTTACTAGCCTGAACTTGTGTAAGAGCGATCCTGTATTAATAGTATAATGAAATAAACAAACCCACGGCAGAGGAAAATAAGAAAATGAACATTGTTCTATGTACATATTAGTACCTATGAATATATTGTTCTGCATATTATTATTACACTCGATTGTAAAAACAAATCTGTGCACATAATATTGTACAAAGGTAATAGTGAAACGGCTGGAGGGTTGCAACTTGCAAAGTATAGGCAATTGTCATGTGTCCGTGTCCCCGCAAACGACCGGAAATCTTTATTGGAAAACAGGAGCGGGTAAAGCTGCACGTGCATTTGTTTGATGGGTTTTCGCCGACACCGCGTTCGTTGGCGGTTTAAGCGACGGGGTTTATATACCGCTTCGGACTTATGTCGACCCCAGCGTACCGATCTCATCTTTGGAGGGTGCGCGGCAGTGTACCCGTATAGTCTACTCTACACTAAAACTACGCTCTACACTACAATACACTACACTATACTTCACTATATATACTTCAACATATTTTATATATATAATATATATAATATAAATGTGTGTGTACTATATTACAGCCGTATATGCTATTACATCGCCTGCGCGCTTTCTATATCCCCGCGGAGTGCGGTGCAGTGTATAATGTTGACTGATGGCCGGCCGTCTCCGACATGTGTTGCTCTGTCGCAGTCGTCGGCCTCCGCCTCTATCGCTGTGTTCGAAGCTCTGAAAGACGTCGTCGTCGTCGTCGTTGTCGATGGGTCACAAGCGAAACTATGCGTATATATACAGGGCGTTCGCGTGATAGGGTGAACAATTGTATAGAGGGGGACTTGTGGCGATCATCCAGATGAATTGCCGGCTATCAAGACTCGCCGCTGGTCGTATAGCTAGTGTGTTTGGTGTTTGTATGCGTGTGTGTGCTAATGACGTCACACGCCGTCGTCGCTCTGACCCTACCAACAAAACGTATCATTTCTCAAACCACCGAGGCCGTGGCCTCCCTATATTTTCCTATACTTCCTTAAGTTTATCGTGTATACCCACCACGAGTGTATCTCGTCTTACCTTTTTTCAATATTTTTTACAATTTTGAGATTAAGCCATAATATTCGACCTAATCCAACCAGCATTGCACATTTTGATTTATAGACCATCACGTACAAAAATTTAAATTCTCAAAAAATGTACAATAATTTATTTGATTTTTGTCTTACTTGCGCCCAACTACTGCAAACGTTCCTTCATACGTGATTACATCACATTTCATTCTTTCCCCAATGAATAAGAACGGTTATTTATTAATTGAAATATGAAATCGCAAATGCAAAAATAGTGTGTAGTTCCTTATACTTAATTTAATATTTCAATAAAGTAAATATTATACGAGCTGATGATAAATGGTTATATTATACGTAATATACTCGATAGTTTGGGTTTTTTTATTAGATAACTATTTAAAAATATATTTTTTAGATTTATCTTTGAGTTTGATAACAAATTGATATTTGGGTATCCAGTATTGAACTACATGTTATACTAACCATACGATTGTGCAACCATGCACCTTTATCCTTTCCACTTATATCTAAATATTATGGAGGTACAATAGGTACATAGTATCTTTTCGTCGAATTGATATACTTACATTTGTCTTGTTTATGTTTTCTTACCGTGTATTTTGAATATACTTCTAAATTATTATTTTTATCCTTCAACCTTATTTTGGGCTTTGCAGTATTATATTTTTAGTAATATACTCAAATATCTGTTATAGAAATTCATCAAAAGAACCCAGACCGCATTCGATTGTGAACGAAGCACTTCTTTGCAAAGAACACACTGGACTGTTATTTGAACCACCTTCAAATTTGTATTCGACTGAACAAAATCCGTAAGTAATAAATTACCTAGTTACTATAATATTATATATTTGGAACGGTAGGGGGGAACACGTGTGTGTTTGTTTTTTGGCAGAATTTCGAATGGGGCACCCGTAGGTTTCTGCCATGCCCCGGGGGTGGGGGATGGCAGCACTTGTTCTCCGGTCACCGCGACTTGTCCGGAGAAAAATGCCGCCCGGTAGCCGAGGATCGAACCGCGACCGGCTGCGTCGCAGCGGACGCGTCAGACCACTCGGTCACCTCATCCCCCATATATTATATTGATATTATAAATATTAATTGTCTGTTGTATGAAAACGTTGACTTTTTACAAATCCTAGGTAATTGATAGTCATATTTAACAAATAAATACTATAACCATATAAATACCTATATATTATGTAATAATATATTTTATCAACGATAAATTACAAAATTCTGAGTTTTAAACCCTATTATTCTGTTTTTAGGAGTTGATATAAAATACTATTATACTTTTATAGCTTTACTGGTGTACATTAGTTTCATATCTTAATTTGTTCGCAATTTGTATTTAAGAAACTAAAAAAAAAATACCCATCCTTTGTATAGCAAATGCAATACATAGAGCTTTCTGAGGTTTTTCGAAAAATATAAAAAACAGTTTTGGAGATAGTTCCCTTCTTTCAGAATGTAAAATTGTATTATAATATTTTTTTTTTTTTTAATTTTATTCTTCAAGAAGATAATGGGCCCCACTGAACATGTTCGTGGGGGGGGGGCATGAGTTCACAATTTGAAATATAAATACGTTAAATAGTTCTTATAAATTAAATACTTACAATTTGCAATATTTATACATTTCTCACATATCTAACTATAATATTTATAATATAAGTAATATATGTTTTTTCTCTTTGTTTATATAATATAGTATTATGTAAAACATTGTGTTGTTAAATAATATAATATAATATGGCATTATAAAACTAAAATTAACAATAATTACTTAAGTCGTACAACTAATATGATAAATAATGCAGTAATCCTATACGTTTGTTATGAGTCTTTCTATATTTTGTTCTTGTAATAGCCAAAGTGTAATTTTTTTTTAAGAATCTTTAAAGAGTTGCTGTGTTTAATTTCTATTGGTAGTATATTGAAAATTTTTGGACCGATATATAAGTATGTAGATTGTGTTAATTTTGTGTGCATAGTTGGTACTTTAATATTAGATATTTGCCCAGTATTGTGTCCGTGTTCAGTTTTAAAAGTAAGGTTATTTTTAATTATGTAAATTACCGACGCTCTATAAAATAATTTTTTTATTGGTAGTACTTTTATGTATAAATACTTTGTGTGGTATCTTGAGTCTTTTTTTAGGATAATTTTTAGTATTTTGTTTTGGATTTTTTTAGTGGATTTATAGTTGTATCATACGTACCTCCCCATATAGTAATACTATAATTAATTATGGATTCTATTAATGCTTGATACACTACTCTAATTGTCTTAAGTTCTAAGATATTCGTTAAATTTTTAAATGCATACATAAGTTTTCTTAATTTATTTGTTAAACATTTTATGTGGTCATTCCATTTAAGATTATGACACATTTCTATACCTAAGTATTTACAGTTTTTAACTATTTTTACAAAGGTTTGGCATGTACATATATTTTGATTTAAACAGTCATACTCATGTATACATAGATTTGTTTTATTTGGTTGATTTGAATTAACTATATAGTGTGGTAATATGTAGGTTTTTTCTAAGTTTAGAAATAAATTATTTTCACATAGCCATTTTTGAATTTTACTCATGTCAGATTGAACACTAGCAAATACTTCATCCCGGGATTGGCCTTCCACAAAAAGTACTGTATCATTTGCGTAGCAAACTAGTTTTCCGTGTTTATTCAAGTTATTTATTTGGTTAATATGTATATTAAACAGTGTAGGCAATAAAGTTGTCCTTTGAGGTACACCACATATTATTGACGTTTCTTCGCTTAATTCATTGTTTATTTGAACGTGTCTTTTTCTATTTTTTAAGTATGAACTTATTAAATTCTGAGCTGTTCCCTTGATACCAAGTGTGTTAACATTTTTTAGTAATATTTTATGATCTATAGTATCAAATGCTTTTGCTATATTGAAATAAAAATGACGAAAAGAAATGTTTACATAGAAGTTTTAACTTTATAATAGGTACATATTGAAATCGTAAAAATCAATAATCAGAATAAAAGTTTAAAATTTAAACGAATTTTTTTTGAAAGTAGGTGTGTACAATCTGCCCTAGGGTACAACAAGAATATCTGACAATTGAATAATGTAAATTACGTGATAATATAGTAGCCAGCGGTAACACTTTCTTTGCTATCCTTATAGTGCTATAAAACTAAAACGATATCTATATTTTTAGTTTTAATTTGAATTTTCTTTTGTGAAATAAGCATTTTATAGTTTTTAAGTTTAGTTAGAATTGATAATTTCTAAAGAAAAGTGAACCATGATTTTAACTTTTCAAAAATCGACACGCTGCAGTCTATTTATTGTTTATAAAATGTTAAGTTCGGTCATAAAACAATACTGAAAACGCCTATATTAAACATTTTTTAAAAGTTGTTTCAGTGTTTGAAGTTCATATTTTACAACATTTGGTATTCAAACTTAAAACAACGAATTTTCCTAAAACAAATTTAATTATTTTTTATTTTGTTGGAATTACATAAATGTAATATTAAGTGCTCCTCATTTATTGTTATAGTAGTATAGGTACTAGGTAGGCACAATTTTTATTTATCAATGTGTCTGAACTTTGAAGTTTACATTTTGTCGAAGTTACGAAATTTGGAAATTAATTTTTGATTAAAATTATAAACGATATTTTAAGAGAAAATTGTTGAACCTACTGCGCTACTAATATGATAATAAATGACTACTAGTATTTTTATATACATACTATGACACCTCTGAATTAAAATTTAACACATCTTTACAGTGACCTATTTTTACTCAATGACAAGGTACACTTGAAACCACGTTTGCAATTTGGAGGTTGGGGCAGCAAAGTGTATCTTGAATCAACTTTTTGTAAGATGTTTTCTCTGGTCTGTCAAAAGTTAAATGATTGTGCCGATATGTGTTTTAAATCTGATATTGTGCCAGAATTATGATTTTTTTTTTTTTTGCAAATATACATTTTCGCTTTGAACCGAATGAATAAAAAACTAATAATATTAATCAAATACTAAGGAATGTATAAAGAACAAATCATAATGGAAATATTATAGCACGATCTTATCTTTGTACATATTCTAACTGTGAGTTATGTAAATAAGAAATCACCAAAATGTATAATATTCATTAAAATGTTAAAATCAAAAAAATAGTCATACATTTTACAATCTTTGTTGTTTATATATTAAATCATATCGCTTTCTTATTACACGTGCTCTTATAGTATATACAAATATACTGCTATAACATATATGTTGAATTGGTAATGATTTTAAAATGGTCTTCAAACGTTTTAGATAAAACAATTTAAAAATTGAAATGATGTGTCTGCTTAAAAGCTTCTATACAGCAGAGTAAGTATTCGGTTTATTTTTCGATATTTACTATACATAGGTAACTGTTTGTTTTTCCCTGAGATAATATTTTTTTTTTAAATTCCTATGTATATTTATTTACCTACAAGGCTACAACACAACAACATCGTTCTTTCGAGTGGAAAACTACGAAACTTTTTGTGTTAAAGTCAGAACGAGCGTGCGGTATAATTTCGTCTCCCATTTTAGTAACTCTTCCACCATCGTCACGATGACTGAACGACATTCTAACCATCAGAGCGGTGTTGTGATGTCAACTTCTTACACCATCCCACTCCACTCAAAAATCACCCTAGTTGTTCCACAGGTTTTTGTCGTCTCCGATGCGATCAACTGTAGTTTTTAATTAATTAATTCCGTTCGTCGTTTTCACTCAACGGGTCAAGTTCTTCGGCGGGCGGGAACCCGCCGCCACTATCGTCGTTGTTGTATTATAGTAGTAATATATTATTATTATTATTATTATTATAAGAGCGTCGGGTGGGAAATTATATATTATAATATTTTCAGTCTGTTCAAAATGGTTTTTAATAGCTGGGCGGGTTGTCGTGCGTGTGCGTCTATATTCCTCAAAAGAAGGGGGTACGGGGCTCTAAATAATCTTATTGGCCTCTGCTGCTGCTGAGGCTGCCTCCGCCGCTGTTTCTAGCGGATGCGCCGTGGTCCGGAGGAGAGGAATTTAACGTGACGGTGATTATGCAAATGTACACCGAGTGCCTGCCGTGGCGACTATGCAAATCGGTCGTGCCCATAGGAGATGTGTTTTTGTCAGCTGCCGTCAGTATTTAACAAATTATCCAATTAATTAAGTATTATCGTCGCCACTGCGGCCGCACCCTTCCTGTTGCGGGGGTGGGACGAGTATATCCTCAACACCGCGGTTGCCGTGTTTTGGTGGTTACACTATCGTGGACGATGTGTGCTGTGACGATGTCGGCCACAACACATAATAATATAATATATTGCATTCGAATGTTGCTACTCATACTTTATAGACCATACATCAGACTAGCTCAGATATGAACTAATAAAATATACTCACTATATATAACTGCAAAATAAAACCAATTACCCGTTGCCTAAATTCGTTTCCTTAAACTTTTAATGCGTATTGTATGCAGAAAATTACTTAAAATCCATAATATTACCTTTTTTAGTATAAATTATCTGCACAAATGGATACACTTTTACGTATAAACAATAGATAATGACTGATAGACATGCGTTACGTAAACAATTAGAATAAAGGTTATTGTTCGCTTTGAGGCCATTTTAAATCCCTTATACAGACCACATTTTTACTTTGTTTCTGCTTTAAGATTTTTGTATTTATTTAAAAACAATTTTCTTTCTTTTGACTATTAGAACACTATATTATTCATTTTTTTTAAAAATTAGTTACGATATATTATATTTTTTGACAAGATAAGTTAAATATTATCATCAATTATGAACGATAAAAGATTTAAATTCAAACATCAAACTAACTTATTAAAAAAACAAATGTATTTTTATTTTTTTACCCAATTCGTACAATTTGTTTTTAATTAAATTAGTTTTGATTTTTTAGTTACTTATCTGCAATTACTGTTTCTTACCAGTATATATTATTTTTTACTTTCCTGCCTTGTAAAAAAAGATTACTTTCTTCGTTTTTACAAACAAATTTGATAACTATGTACTTATTTAGTTTATAGTATAAGTATCTAAAGCATCACTATGTTTGCCTGATATAGATAAGTTGGTTCGAATTTTAATGTAAAAGTTTATAGGCACTTTGAAATCATATGAATTCATTCATATAATCGTTACTATTACGTTCAATGTAATAATATACATGTTCAACATAAATTTTACTACTTACTTAGATCTAATAAAATATAATAACATATGTGTTTCAGAATAGCGCTATTAACTAAAGAAGAATGGACGATTCTTTCACGATGTTATGCAGCTGATTATGGAGTATATTTGTACTTTGGTGAACTTGGAATGTTTACAACATCAAATCCAGGTAATTTATTGCATTTCTGATACAATTTTGCTATGGATATTTGATTGATAATTGCTTAAAATTAAACTATTTGATTATTCAGCTTATATTATTTTCATCTATTAATTCAGCTTAGATAATGGTGGTAATTTTTAAGCTAGTTATGAGAATTTTTAAATTTTTAAAATTTAAAATTGTAATATTTTACTACTTACTCATAACATGCTTACAAGTCAAAATATCATAAGCACAGATAATGCTCTTACTAGAGCTACGATTTTAATGACCTAAAGAATACACTTAATGCACTAAAAAAATATGCAAAAATGACCTAAAAACTCTAAAAAAAATGAACTTAGATGAGCGAAAAAATTTAATTTTAAAATAAATATTATTATTAACTATTAATTATTATTTATTAATTTTTATATTACACAAAAAAGGCAAAAATTTCTTTTAAGAAGTAAATTAAACAAATATAATCAAATTTAAGCTAATTTGTGAGTTTAATTAATTTTATAATTACTATTTTGATTCCTACCCACTTTGCCGAATCCCAATTCGCCAACTCAGTTTGCCGACAAATATACCAGTTTTAAAATATTTTTAATGTTATTTATTAATATAGTTTCAATTTTACCCATTCGCCGACAGGTGATAATAATTTTATGGAAAACGGGTATAACAGCGATAATGTTATGGTGTGTTGTCGATAGAAGTTCAAAGGTACTATTTTTATAAAGGTACTATTGGTACTAATTGAGATTACATATACAACACGTGTTAAAAAAAACTTAATAAACAAGAATTAGTTTAAGTACACAAATCGAACGTAATATTTTTAAAAATGAGCTTAATAATGCAATAAAATGCATTTAATCCAAAAAATGTAAAAAATGCAAAAAAATGCAAAATAAAAATTACACATTCTAAATTGTTGGATCACGAAACAAATTTAGCTTTTGGTTAGAACAGCAAAGCACTTTAAGAAAAAAAATGCAAAAGTTACCAAAATCCTAGCTCTAGTCCTATAAGTATGATAATAGGTCAATTCACTTTCTTATTAAAACTTAACACACAAAATGGAACTGCTGAACTCATATTATCTATGTAACGGCACGTTTGTAAGACAACAGACTCGCACGTGGCATCCGGTTAATACATAATTTTGGATATTACACATGGTTAAAATATATCAATTTATTTTAAGTTTATAGTTTATAGTTTATTCAATGCATTATATTATTAAACATTAATTTAAAAAAAATATTCTTTAGATCCTCGTAGGCAAATTATTGGCCTACTGAGTAATAATAATTAAAAAAGGTTTTATAAAACAAATTGGAATTAGCTATACTTTAAAATAATGTCTTAAATATTTATATTGTATTATTATTTTTGAAATACCACTGATCGTTAAAATATCTTTTTAATTTCTTAAATTTATAATACTCATGTTGTTTTGCTTATTTTAATGAAGTGACGTTGTAAAACCGTTTTGGTTTTTATTGTCTTTTCCCTCATTTCTTGTAACATGTAATTATACACTAGAGGTTTGAATAAGCTGATTGTCGGCCTACTCGTCATACCACCCCATAAGGTTGTCTTTTATATCGCAAGTGTTGTTTTTTGAAGTAATTTTATTTCAAAATATAATTATACAACAACTAAAGTTAAAAATGAAAGGTTGTTTTGTATCAGCTTGCAGTTTGGTTATAACAGGTAAAATGTGTAGGCATAAATAAAGTCTACTGAATTAGTGTTATTAATCGTACAGTTTTAAAATCAATTATATATAAAATAATTTCTTTATAAATTAAAAAAAATTGGTATTTATTGTTTAGTAATGAGTATTTTGTAATTGTAACAGTTTACCTATACGAGTAATATGAAACATTAAATTATACTCGAATGGAAGTTATACTCGATCTAAGACTTAAATAATTTATCTGTAGATATATTTCAAAATATAACAATAATATTATGTGGATTTCTAATCAAATTTTTTTTTATTTCTTCTACACATTAAAGTGTATGCTCTTTTTTATTCTCTGCAAGAATCTAGTCAAACCCATTCTAAAATATAATAAAAAAGTGTTGGTGGTTTGCATGGCAAAACTTTAAATTTTACAGTTTTTTTTCTTAAATGTATCACCATTAGCAAATTAGTCTAATTTATTAAGAATAGCAGCCAAAGCAAGATGCCCAACGCGCGAGGTAATGTATTTTCATTTGGAACGGTCCCAGAGGAACCCGAAACTTTGGTCCGAGCGCTTCCTTCTACTGTTTTTTTCTCACCACTCTCATTGGACTGGCTCTGTTTTTGCGCCCCAGAATTAATATCGCGCTTTTGTCCCGCCCGCCGAATCCCGCAGCTTGACTCGAATTTCAATTCCAAATCGGAGGAGGTCATCTTTCTCTTTACACACACACATACATACACACAGTATACACATGACTAACATAATACACGCAGTGGCAAGAAACTAATTCATTTAAGGGACACGTGGAGTGGGGATGTTTGTATGTATGGTATTGCGCGTGTGAGAAACGTGATGGGAATGCTTGTAAATCATTAAAAGGTCACCTTTGGCTGCACCAAGGGGGTTCTGTAGACGTTATAACCGGACCCTGTTATCTGGGCCGAAGGCATTGATCATGTTTGTGGTGAATCCAATTAAAGATATGGAACAAGAAATCACAGTTTGCGTTCCAAACAGGGTTGTATATTAATCGGGTCCAAGGACCATTTCACCCTTTGCCCCTTGCGTGTAGCCATGTCACGGAGCCGTTAAATCATTCGTAATGTGGCGATTCCGAACTGTACATGTGCATGGTATTTATGTCGTGGTTGTCGGTGAAGGGATATGAGAGCCCGTGGACAAAAAAAACTTAATTTGATTTATTGGTATTTCTGGGTTCTACGAGCTATAGTGTTTAATTATAATAATTTTCATTGCGTAATGTAAATTCTGAATATATTCATTTATGATGATACTCGAATTATTATTATTATTAATTATTAATAGTGTGTGAATTGAAATATCATCGTGTTATAAATCCGCGCGTGTAAATATGTGACTATAGTCGTTTTTGAAACAAATATTGATTTTTAGTCAAATTTCTGAACTATTAAAACAACTACCTCATAATATATACCGCCTCATACCTATACATATTTATTTAATTGACAGATATAATCATAATGCATAAGATTAATAATTTTTCTTTCTGTTAAAAATTGCGTAACTATAGCAATAGGTATTCTTCATGCTAATTTTATTTTGTTGAGATTTGTGACTAAATAAAAGAAAAATTAACATTGTCGTTAAATTATTCGGAGGTAAACGGTGTACTTGCGGAAAAGGGTTGATATCACTCCCCCTATAAAGTAGTTAAATGAAGCGTGTTTTGTTAGTGGTCAGCGAATTGCAGATAACCGAATACGATTCGGTTCATTTGATATAGTCGTTTAAATAGAATCCACTAGAAAAGAGAACCCTCTCACTCCGTCCTTAGGAAAATGATGTAAAACAAACGTAACGCGTAGAAATCAATTTGGATTTCTTGACTTACCAGTTTTTCCTTTTCTTTTTTTCCACCCTATATAAAAAGACCATCAGTTTAATAGTCGTTCAATATGTTTAACGACCAGTTGGGAAATCCAGGAAACCTCTTTTAACCCCCCCCCCCCTTCACTAAAAACGGTCGTTAAGTATTGGTTTTTTTTTCAGACAAACCTTTTTTCTCCCCTGGACACAAGCAGGTTGAAACGAGGTCTCGACGTGGTTTAATAAATGACAAGGCATTTGTCGCGCTTTTATCCCACTCTGTGCAAAAGGGATAGCTCATCTTGGGACGGGACCCAACGATAATTTGAATCGCCCTAAAATGGGAGAAAAAAATACTAATGACGCGTTTTTAAAGATTAATATATGAAAATATATGTAGAATTTAATTTAATTTTTTTTTTGTTAAGGTTGTGTAGAAACTATCATTAATAACCTTACTCGTTACCTTGTTAAATGAAAAATTTAACGTTTTGTTATAGAAATATGTGTACCTTGCCGCCAGAGAAGATTGGACGAGGAGAAAAAGGAACAGTTAAAGTATAATAAAGCAAAAATTTTTATTAAAGTGATTGAAAAAGAATCGTACGAAAATAGATTCAACGGAATCGATGACAAGGTAAAAATATGATTATAACTAAAGTTAAGTAATATAAGTTTATAGTTATTATTGTTAAAGAAATTAAACTGTGTAAATATAGATTTGACACAGATATTGGTTTTACTATTTGTTTTCTCTGTTATAAATCTGAGCAGTTATATGATATACCTAAAATATTATTTTTGTAGAAATTAGCATAATAATAATATCAATAATTTTTATCAAACGATTTTAGAATAATTTAATAAGTAATGTCTAGTTCTGTTGACAATGTAATAGAATATAATACGAACATATATAAATGTATAACATAATGATATTGTGATATTATTATTGTTCGTGGAAAAGCTTGTTTGGTTGTCGATTCAATTGATTGATATTTTTTGCACGTGTCAGTTAATTCGATTGGTTTCCTTTGCCACAATATAATGATAAAGTCGTGTGTCGAGAGAAATAAACATATAAAAAGGTTTTAAAAAACGAGATAGTTATATTTATATTTATATTGTATATATGTTTATTGAGGCTTGAGCTGAACACCACTGCCGTCGGTACCTACCCTATCTGTATAGCGTAATTGGCGATCGTAAAACTTGATAATTTTCTCGTGAGAGCCGGCAAAAAGACTGAGAGACATGCGGAAAGACATTATAATAATAGGACTCTTCTCTCGGCGCAGACACTGATGGTGAATATTCCAGTAATAAAGCCATCGCGCCTGAGATGCATGCATTATTATATTGTAAGAGGAGACTGCTGCTGCACCACTCGCGCCTGTAATCATGTGCCAAATCGTAAACTTCCCATTTATACACATATACATACTAAGACCTTAACTGTGGCATTATAATTACCTGAACCCCGGCAAACAAATCAGAACAAGTACCTACAATAAAGTCGGACGTTAAACCCCGCCGGAGCGCCGGGGACAAGGACGGGCAAAACGAATAAAAAAAACCAAATATAAATATAAAATACATCCTCGGGGCGTATATGTGCTCGTCTGGACCGTCAAAATAATTACTGTTGTGGTTTACGACCTCGTGCCCAGGTCGGAGGCTGTACAGGCTGGAGGGTTTTCCACTCGCTGAGTTCGGTCCGTTTCTATATTTTTATTTTTTCTCATCTGTTTGTTGCTCATCTTAAACTTCGCTCAAGCTCAATTCTACTCCGCATAGTAGTGTTATTGACATAACGTGGGGTAAAGGTTACTGGGTATAATGGTTCTCCCAGGTATAATAATAGAAACTTTAATAGAAATTTCGAATAGAAAATTTGTTGTAATGGTGCGTTGGCTTAAAATTAAAAAAAGATTTACACATTTAATTATCACCTCAATGCCATTTAAAGTCTAACCTTAAAACAATATATTTATTTTAGGTCAGTGGAAAATCGGTAGTTACTCGAAAATAACTGTTCAATGATTAATATTGTTTATGATAAAAGTTCTTTTAGTTGTCCTTTTTTATGTAAAACTGTATATAAATATTTTTACCAATTAATAAAAAATGTAATAAAACAAGAACGTGTTGTTATGCTTATTCAGGTAAATTTGCAGGCTAAAATCTTAAGATCTTAAGATATCCTATTTTGTAGTTAGGTACCCGATAAGAAATATTTTCGTACATATAGGTGTATAATACCATTAATTTTATCATGGCTCGCGTGTTTATTGAAATTTTTGAGGGCACTATCTATTTAAGACATTCTTTATTGAATATTGAATTATTTAATTACAAAATATTTTAACATCAGATTCTCTCGTTTAGGTATCAATTTAAAATAGTCATCTCTTATCCGTTTTAGTAAGTTTTGTTCACACAGCAGCAACTACTGACTTCTATTTTTAAAATGTAATAAATAATAATAATATTATTATTGCCTTTAGTAATTTGCTTTGAATCTTTGATGACTGAGCTCTTTTCAATTATTCATTCTTACTAAAAATGTATAGAAATAATTTTTTTTTAAAATTTATTCAGTGATTATGCAGTGCTACTTCGTTTATCGTGCTACATATTAGAGCTTATTTTTAAATGTCAAAATAAACAATACAAATTGTTCATAAAATATTATATTATGTATTTATGCATATTACACGTAAGATACATAGAATATTATGGATATTTCTATACTTGATTCAATATATGTGTGTTATATTTTGTGTTAATGAATTTGAATTTTGGATTAAAAACAAAAACATTAAATATTATTATTTTCCACAGTGAAATAATTAAATTTTATACACGTGGAATAAAAACTATTGTTTTATCTTAAGAAATATATTACGGTTGTTATGTATGTAGACAGTTTTGAACAATTTATCCTGTAATGCATCGATACCTATTGTTTGTATTCGATGTATATACTTGTTAGGTCCACACTGTCGAAACGGAAAATTATAAGCTTGAAACGAGAGTCTGTGTACCAATAGACGTTATAGTACAAAGTTAAAGTTATTTTAGTATAATACTAAAATAATTTATGAAACCATCGCTCATTTATTATTTAAGGTGTTATTTGTTGCTTTTCACCGATTTCTACCTATACTCTCAGTGTTTAATTTTTTTCTTTGAGACCAGTTAACTCGCCGCGCAGCCATAAATATCGATACTGATTCCCCCAATTGAACTCTAAACAAAAATAAATACTACCGAAACATAGTAATTAACCCATGGGTTCTATGCGTTATAATCGCCAGGTTGGTTGAAAAATAATCGTTCTAATAAAATGTTTAAATCCTCGTTGTTGCCCAGGCAGAAGCAGCATCGGCAGTATCTTTTAGATATCGGACGGGTCGCAGCTTGCGGCTGTGTACGCCTTCCGAGTTCTGAAGTGGATATAGTTTATAATTATGAGTGTATATGCATTTTGTATTTATAATATATAATATGTTATGATGATAATAATTTCTCTGCGCGTACCTGTCGTCTTCGTTATAATTTTTTCAATATTTTTTTACGCCCCGGTTAAACATAGTTCTGATAATCGACAGGAACAGAAGCAGGAAATCTTTTTTTCTCTCTGTGATTAAAAATAACTTACTATCTATGATACAGTTGCTGTGTTTATTTTGCTATACCTACTTGTTTTCGAGTTAATTTAATTTTTATACTTGTGTGTACACCGCTATACAATTGACGACATATTGGCGTGGTGTAGTTCAAAAAAAAAATTCACGTATTGGTACTTGGTACATCCATTACAATTTAATTTTAATTTTATCTGTAAGGTTACTTGCCTTGTATACCATGACTGATTAATATGAATTAAATACAATATGTTTAAAATACTAAAAAAAATACACTAAAATATACTAGTAGTTACATTGATCCAAATTACTCACAATTTATTGACAGACCGTAATAATTATCGTAGTATTGATTACTATTTATATAATTGTACATTTGTACAGTTTCTGAGTAAGTGTGAAATTGTTTTCGTTTTAACACGACTCGAGGGTAACATGTGAATAAATCAAAAGCACGTATAATATAATTTAAAAAGTAAACACTATGGGAGGAAAAAATAAAGCGAGAAATTCCTGTTGCCATCGTGTTTGATTTATTATCAATAAGTGTTGGTTAGGTAGATGAAAGATAAAATAATAATGCATGCACTTTTTATATTATTTTCACGACGGCCGTGGTGGCTTTAGCAATGCGCGTCATTGTTTATTATACAAAATATATTTGCCTATGATTTCTTAAACGTTAATGTAGACTACTGTTACAGAAGCAATTGTTGTTCGTTTCGGTCGCCCAGTTAATAATTTTCGGGATTTTCATCTTAATGCTGCCTTCTGTCCACGTGTGTGTATGTCGAGCGCCATGTGTAATAAATTGTCTGTCATTTTACCAGCACTAGCGAATAATCGAAAGGGTCTGATACAAAGGCACAGACCGTAATAATTAGGAATGTCGTGTGTATGTATAATATACCGATAGGGCGTGATTTTATCTCAGCTCGTAAAATATGACTGTATATGACTTTATTACCGACCCGTGTATACATATATTATCCACTATAACTTTGTCATGCCGCCGCACCGGTGACGTGCCAGTATATATGAGGTACATACGCATATAATACATGTAGATATATTATTTGCATACCAACTGCAGCTTTGGAAAACAGTTGCAAGATGTTTTTGTGTCGCTGAATGATATTTAAAATACTAAATTGTGCGTTTGGTTCACAGGATGAGTTATGGGGCAACTGTTCGAAGAAAATTAAACTGGATACGGCGTGCCTGAACGGCACTAGTGGCTCTGCAACGGCCGCCGCTCCCACGTACGTCAACAACGGCGCATTAGAGTTGGGAATCAGAAGAAGTGCTCGAAACCGAAGGCCTAGGGGTGAATTGATTGTGGTTTCTTCCAACGACACGTTGCTTGATCTCAAGATGAAGGTAAGCCGGTTATAATAATTTGCTACTGTCGTAGTATTTGTTGTTGCACACTGTTCGATTGTTATTATACAATTATGTAAACCGTGAAAAACTTGTGTGCACAGTAATAACACTACTGAATTGAGCTAAGTCATATACGATTATTGTTGGTGTGACTTGGAGTAAAAAAAAATATTGTTTAAAATGTAAAAATGTGTGTAGGAGTTAATAATTACAATCCGAGTAAAATCGTTAAATCTGCATATTTTGTTGGCTACACCATTAGCTGATAAGTAGTTAAAAACCCTAGCTAACTAAACCTATACGAAAATATAGTATAGATATACTGTCGTCGAATGAATGCGATTATTGACTGAGGTACCTAAACGAATTGTACACAGATCAAACAATTGTAAAAAAAAATAAAAAATGCTCATAAAAATTATAAGAAAACCTCGATTTTCGATAGTACAGTGACAATATGACCATTTAAAATTATTTTTCCATAAATCTATTATTATCTCTAGTAGGTATCTATCATATATTTTTGTATCTTGATAAAATATAAAAGATATATTTTATATCTGTATCCTGTATAAAAAATATTGTGATACATATATTATAAATATTATTTTTTAGGAAGAATATTGAGTGACCATAATATGATTCTATATATGCTCTCAAATTATATGATGTGATTTGAATTGTGTATTCTATAATTTATTTTTACGAGTGTACCAGGTACAGTGAATTTACTTAAATATCATATTAGACAATAAATGCTTAAACAAATAAACAGTAGTAACATTAGGCCTTAAAGTTCAAGGTTTTATGACATTATTTTATAAGTGCCTAAAAAACTAGTTTAAATGCAATGTTAATCTACGAGTATAACGTTTTATAGGAAAAAATGTTGATACATTCTACTCGATTTTTGTCATAAAATAATTGATTATTAGTTATTACGGTTACCATTAAACTAAAATGCATACTTGTGAGTTGTGATAACGTTAGAATACTTAAGATTCTCCATCACAGAAATCGTATTATATCTGTGCGTGTGTGTGCGTCGTATTTATTACAATTTAATTTGACAAGAGTAATTGAACTAGACCGGTTTAAAGTTTTTACGATACTTTTATAAAATTCCAACAATTGAAATAATTATTTTGTTTTATTAATATAATTACGTCTGCACATACATCATACAATATCGAAACAACGCATTAACATTTTCTATGTGTAGGTACCATAAACCTCACATAGCACTAATCATTATTTATCAAATGAAGTATTAATATTTGGTGTTAAGACTTAAAACAACTCATATTAAGAAAGTTTTTAAAGAATCAAAATAATATTCAAGAGTTTCAATACTTTTAATAAATAAACCATAATATGAAACGTTTGTTTATATAAAATTCGAATTCTACTAAAATGTACATTACACCTGCAGGTATCAATGCTTATAATCTATATTGTATATTCAAGCAAAGTCATTTTGAAAGACACATGTTAGCTAAACTTAGTCCTTGGTTATTATACTAGACGTGTATTCACACACTTCAACCCATTTCATCTTCCTCGTTTTCTCAGTAAAGTCAGTTGGTTAGAACTTGACAGCTTTGAACATTTCAAAACTTCAAGCTTAATGCAATTGTGTTGTAGAATCTTGTCGGAGACTTGTTCGCGTGTGTATGTGGCTGACATTCTAAAGTCAATAATATTTTTGTTTAAAGTAGGTACTTTCAACTACGACCAACTGTGGTATAAAATTGTGTGGTTCGAATTTGAATTTGAATTTTCTGTTATAGATAAGTACTTTTTGAGGTTCCCTCAAGTAATGGTTTTGTGACAAATACGTTACTGATTTCGTCAAACTCAAAAATATTTATTGGAATGCGGAATAGATTTCAATGTTTGGCCACTATGAGGTTGTTATAATCATTACGGGTTCAGAAATTTAAAGGTGTGAAACGAGAATGATACTCGTTTATTATTGTGGGAGATACATGATCCGTGTGCGGATGGCTTTATATATTATAAATTTTCTTTATGCGTGCTTGGACAACCCACAATAGCCAAAGCCGTCGTGGTGAAATTTATATTATTATTGTGTTGTTATTCTATACTATATATTGAGTCATTAAAAACACGGGGCGAACTCGCGCAGACTGCAGTCGAAGTAGCAGCGCTACAGGACGCCCCGGGCAGAATATTTCGCGACGCGCTGGTGGCGTTTAACTGCCGCCGCCGCAATCTTGGTTTTTTATGTTGATTTTCCCTTCCTCTTGCCATCTACCACCACCACCATCACATCACCTCGACTGAAACAATTGTTTTTTACGACACGCACTTATTATGGGCGGCGTAGAACGGCAAATGGAAAACTCGACCAATGTAACCACTTTAACGCGACCGCAGTGATTATCGTACCGAAGAAAACGCTAAATTATATTATCGACTAGAACCGGCAATGATATTATTTGATTATCAGTCGTCAATGTTGGCCACAAACTTAGGAGTGTTTAATAATTGTATTTAAATATTGTAATATGCATTCCGAAATGTTTTTCAGTCTACACAATCGTCAGTTGATAGGAGGCTATATGGTTGTAATTTTATTCGAATAAAAACGCAGTTGTATACTCGATATGAGAATAAGTGGTAAATAAATCTCAGGTCCTATTTTTGTGTCTAACGGATAACTATGTCAATTCTCAATGGTAATATCATAATATAATCCCTCTAGGTACCATATGTGACATACATTACAGTATCACTTAATATATACTATTTGAAATGTAAACGCTGTGAAACAACAACTTTTAAACTTTGAAATATTAAACCGGGTATTTTTTTATATCAAACATAATAGTATATAATTTATTGTAATAAACATTTTCAGGCAGCCTGTAATATTAAAAAAATATTATTCCTATTCTTAAACGAAAATATTTTATATTGACAATAACAACTATTTTAAAGATTTTTTTCTGTTTTATTGAATTTGTAGTTCTAAAAATATTTTGATAATATCCATAATTATCAATCGTGTTTTAAGATAGTACTGAGCGCTATATTTATTTTTCAAATTATATAAACTTTAAATTGTAATTTAAAAATTCAATTTAAATTATTCGAAGTATATGATTATGATCTTATATACTTAACAACGAAATATTTTTGAACTATTTTTGAACATTACAGTGACTTAATGTTCAGAAATTGTATTGTAAGTGCAACTTGGTCTAGTCAAATCGAAGATCTATTTTTAAGAATTATTCTTGACTATGTTCGTTTAAAATCAACTAAATATAATTTAAAATTTATTTTAATCGTTTCTAATATTTATAAAGACGTAACTGTAATTACTCTACTCGGACCGTCTTAATTGGTATAATTTATAAGAACGTTATCAACTGAGCGGGTAATCCGCCGGAGACAAATCCGTTTGAGGGATGCAAATGTCGAGTGAGCAAATGGTAATAGTGTTAGGAGGGTGTGTAGTATGTGTATTTAAGCGCCGAATTCGTTATCATAACTGCTGCTGCTACTGCTCGGACCCTTAGCAGTTGACTGTTGAGGGAGGAGCGAGGGAAGAGGAAATATTAATGACGTCAGGCTGGACCAAAGGACGACAAAAAACAGTTTACCGTTCTATTATTAATCTAGAACATTCAGATGAAGGTTAGGAGAGGGTTAAATGACCGTAAGTGCTGGCCCCGACAGCAAAACCCCCTAAGGCCGAATAGCTTTTTACTGCGAAGAAGTCACCCTTTCCTTCTATCTCACCCTCTCGCTCTTACCAATGCACCGTCTCGTCTCTCTTCCATCCAATCTCCACTCGGTATATCTTTAATCATAATTCAAAGGTTTTACACACACTGTGTATATACGAGAGAGTGTATCGGACACCGGGCGGACGTGATTAACTGCTCTGCGAAATTGTAACTGTGTGTTAGAGTGTGAACTTTACCCGAGAGAACTTTCCCACCCTCTGAGCTAAATTGGCTGGACATTGGATAACTCAGAACCCTTTTAATTTTTTTCGCTTATAAACTTGATGCAACACACTAAACTTATTCATTCGATTTTTTCTACCATCGCGTTTTGTTTGACGTTTTAATCGTTGCCGTGTGAACTTTTCAAATGTCATTTTTCGTATGTTACTACTTCTATGTTATATGCCGTGCGCTTATTATTCATGTGTCTTGTTGTACACTTAATTTTCTACGACTTAATCATTTAACTATAAATCCGTAACAATAAAATGTACTTACGGAGAAAACAGACTGACCAGAGTTTACTTAGCACCTGCAATCAACTAACTAGCTGACATTGATTAACTGATATATTCTGAGATTATAGAAAATCAAAATCCACAGGCCTTTAATCCTTCTCCGGGATTATTTTAATTGCACCCGACAATAAAAACATTACATTTTGTCCGGGCTAGTCGTGGCACAAGTGTCATCCACTAACAATTCTGCATACTGTCTTAACAAATGTCAATTTGGGGGGGGGAGGGTATTGATCACCGTAAGTTTTGTTTGTTATTTTTTTTTACGTATATACAAATGTCTTATTTTCTTTAATTACTTAACACAAAGAATGTTTACTATATGTAATAAAATAATATTATATGTATTACGAGTCCCTACTTAGTCATGATCATTATGTGTCCGTGATAATGATAGTTATTGTATAGATACTAATTGTTAATTGACAAAAAAAAAATACTATATTTATATTACTTCTCATTCTATTATAATATTTTTGAATGTATTTTAATACATTTTGTTTAGTATCATAACATTATAATTGTTTTGTTGTGCAGCTGTGATTGTCAAATTAAAAATAGATAAACATAATTGGACAGCATATTGATTCATTTTTCAAATTACATTTTATAATAAACTGCAAAACGAGTTTATTAACGGTGATTTAAATGTTGACGTTTTGTGTTCGCAGATCATGGGCGCATTCAACGTCATGCCCAATGATCAGCATCTGAAAACAGCGGAAGGTGTTAGGTTGGATGATAATGAAGCTACATTGGCTGACCTAGAAATTCTTCCTGATACATTAATTCTAGCAAAGGTAAGCAGAATTTATTGACTAATCATCAGAAATATTTTTATTAAAACTTAATAGTTAAGATAAATTTAATGAAAATTAAATTTAACTAAGTAAAAAAAAATATATCTATATTTATAATATTTATTATTAGTAATAATTTATACCTTAAATTTCTATTGGTAGTTTTTATTACGATTATGCTATACCTTTAAATAACCTCTTTACAGTATCACCTATAATCAATTACCTATTGATAAAGGTGTCACCCAATACGTATTTGAGCTCCCATATCCGAATGAATGTTAACAACAAATATAATAATAATAAAAAAAACATAATTGTAAAATTAATTTATTCTTCATTTATTTTGTTGTACGTCGGTACATGCTGTTATTATACATTTTAATAGGTACTTATTACTTCGAGGTGGTTAAAGTTATATTTGCATTATAAATACTAAACAGATTAATAAAATATAAATAATTAAAGTGAAATATGAACTTATGGTTATGATTTGAACTGAAATATTGCCATATTGCAAACAGTATCTGGAATATAAGTAAATAGTTGTTTCTATGTATTGTGTGTGGCTTGAGAATATTTGGAATATATTTTGTAAAGTATTTTTTTTAAAAGATATCCCGGTGAAGTGAATGGTTGCCACAGATAGAGTTAAGCTCTCGAACTGATCAGGATAATATTACTATATTTATTGACCTTTCTGCTGCTTAAATGTTGACAATGATTTATTTGTCCTCTGAAATATAAGTATTTTTTTTTATACAACAAACCCACTAGATATCAAATAATCTCCAACCAAGTTTATTGTAATGCGTAACGACTTTTAATGTATGCTTACTTGATACCCTGAGTTTTCACATCACACATAATTATCTAGGACAATTAAAATATGAAATTATAGTTTATCTATAAAAAAAACATAGTAAGGAAATACACTTTATACTCACATCATCGTATGTGTCTTCCTGTGGTTTCTATATCTACGTAATTAATTAGTTAAAAATGATTTATCCAATAATTCTGTGCAATATTTCGATTTTACATAACAATATCAAACGCAATATATGTTCTAATTGGCATAGTTTCAATACTTATAGAAAGAACTAAGAGCGGGATGAACCTATAGAATTTAGCGAAAGCCACTATCGCACTCAGATTACCAATAACGTAATAATAATAAAAATAAAAGCTTGAAGTTGTTACATACCATTATAGGTAAATGTAACGGGTGTGGCTATGGTAGATGTGTGAACGCGGTTTAATTAAATTGTTATCGGTGCAATGCATCTTGAAGTTTGGTTAAAGAAATCAACTTGTGGATCAGCCATATGTGAAATTTCAGTTTTTGATTTGGAAGGGATACATATTTTAATAAAAATCGACCCGTGGTGCTTTGCTCCCTCATGCCTGTTTTGGATACCTACAAAATGTATTACCTTATGTGATATAATATTTCATAATATATTTATTATTAAAATAGTATAGCAGTACAAAACTGAAAACTTGAAGACCCTTTAGATCGCAGACTGTGTTTTAAACAAATTATTAAATTCATAAACCGTTAAGCAATAGCGTTATGAGTTATGAATAACAAAGGCGGGGATTGAAATAGAAGTATTTAACGTCGTAATGCGGCTATTGCACTAACAAAAATCAATTCTAAAAACAGTTAACACACTAATAATCAGTAATATACCTACCATTATACCTATTATATTCGTAATAATATAATTATTAAACCTATATTATGTCGTGTGTGTTGATGCGGTATCGGCGGTATCTACTATGAAAAACATATCAATAATGAATTGTTGTTTAAACTTAAGAAAATAATATCTTCAAAGTTTACTTTATAGATTTTATAATTAATATAGGATTTAATACTTAAATTACAATACAAATTTTTAGAGGGGCTGAGCCCCCCTATGCCCTTGTGAATATGGTGGTAGCAGAAGAAACAAAAGTCGATATTGATAGTCAACGTTTATCGTGTTGATGTATTATTATCAGCTGATGTTTGAAACTTATTGTATACAACTATTAAACCTAGCTCCGTTGATTTGATGGGAAATTTAAAAGAATATAAAATAATAATATTTAAGTTGTTTTTGGATCGTTTGTCTGGAAATAAGTTTTTTTTTAATTGCGTTCTTCGACGCCGCCATCATAATACGATTACCCGCGTATATAATGCATATCATATTACATGCATCGAAAATCGGTTGCGGTACACCACCGCCATTTATCGCGCACTCCGATTATATTATAATGGATGACTTGCACGTCAAATGATTCGTGAACACCACACTCCGGCGATTCACCTGCACAACCCAAAGCACACAGTGCTATTACATCTTTTAATAAATATTCAACAGTTCGGGTATTGCAGATGATGTGTATTGTTTCGAAAACAAAAAAAAAGCTTAAGGTAGATATGTCCATGGGTACTTATATATAATATAATAACGATCGAGTTGATCTGTCGGCAGCTGAATTGAATGGGTTCCGATTGAAATAAACTATTTACTTTGGTTTTTTTTTCACCGATGGCAACGCGTTTTCGTCTTCCGTTATTTTTTCTGTGTACGTATCTACTGAAACGCGATCGTGTCTGGTACCCGAGACACGTGCTCCGTGAATTACCAGGTTAGTTTTTTTTCCGTTCGTCTCCGGAATCCCCGAGTATAATAATTGCCCGGTGCTCCATTTACTTTGGTGTGTATGTGTTTTTTCCTTCCAACCGGCGGCCGGCCATCACCTGCCTTAAACAAACAATAATAATTCGTGGCATTTATAGCTTCCCTTTTTTTTATCACTCATACCAAATTTATGTATTCAAATTATATGTATGCATTAATTTGTTTACACCGTCGTTGGACGATGACAAGTATCTTATTATAATTGATATTTTACATTTTCCATACATACGAAAAAAACCTATCCAAGCCAACGTTCCGTTTTTTACAAATGAAATTACTATGATACTCGAGATATAATATATGTTATTAATATTTTTCCATTTTTATATTGATTAATGCGTTCTCAAAAACGTTAATATTACTTATAAGGCTAAAATAGTTTAATGTTGTTTATTAATTTGCTTATTCCAGATTGTTCTTGTTTAATTTCTGGTCATATTAACTTCTAGATGGCCCTAGTTATTACGCTTTCAGTTTATTGGTTAAAAACAAAAGCATTATATTATACAGTGCAGTCGTTTTGAAATTTTAATAAAATAATTGAAATCGATCATATATATGTACCGTGTTTGGAACTATCGGGGCTTATGATTTCGACGTTAATGACCTGATTGCGAGAGTTTCGTAAAATTTTTGACGTCTTTGTATATACCGTGACGTATTTCGTGTCTCCCGGGACGCCTTGAGAGCCTAACGCGGCGGTAGCCCATGACTCTACTGTGCACGTGACGAGGAGGTAAAGGGGACAATGGCCTTTTTTTTTTTTGTTAGAAGGTATACATACGCGCTCGTGTGTGCTCGGAAAGCACTGCAGATCAACCTACCGTATACCGCGTAACGGGTTGACACCATATGCACACGTAGGGCGCTTTCGCTCTCCCGAATAAACTATCTCTCTCTCTCTCTATATATATATCAGCAGTTTGATCCCGAAAAACGGTACATGTGCGTCCAGACCTCCAGGCTCGTTCCCACGGCGTCGACTTGTCACCCATATATATATATATACATGCATGTACACATGTGCCATCGTCGTGATAATATATGAAGTGTAGAATACAAAACCGTTCACGCATCGGCGCCATGTGTACGGCACGCATATATATAGTATATTATATAGTATATAGTATATATATTATGTACCCTCCGAGTGTGTGTATACTGCTCGCCGAAAGAGAGGAGCAATGATAATATTTAATTATAATATATAGGAAAAAAAATAAATAAAAAAATTACTTAACAACAACCCTTAGACTGCCGGAGTAAATCGTCTAATGGGTTAATGAAACGATGACTTCGCCGCCCACTAGAGGTGTGCTCGCGTGGAGGTTTCTTCTTAAACGTTTTTTTTCCATCTGTATATTAATAATATAGTTTCTCTCGCCGGCTTGTACGAAATATTAAATTGGCCGTGTCTAATTGAAAATTATTTAAATTGCCGTTTTTTTTTCTATTCATAATAATAGGATGTTATCATCGCATCCCTCACGTCGCCAGAGCAGAAAGACCACACATACGTGATATTAATACCTAATATGTCTACTGTACATGCAGTATTGGAATTATAAGTCACCATGTGTGAATACTTTATTTTACTAATAGGTTAGCCGAAAAAAAAATTAATTGTTTATAAGTTTTTTCCTTACAGAAACGACTATATTAACTACACTTATTTATACACCCACCGCCTACGTACTATGCGTGTCCAAACGGGATGTTTTGTTTAAATATTAAATATCGGTCAACTTTAACTATTGATAATATGTAATGAGGTCTAGACTGTTGTGATATTTATACACTCATCAGTCACCATACAATGTAGGTATTCATAGGTAAATATATTATAGGTGCATTATAACGTGCAAATATTATTATTATTGCTATTTCCCCATCTATATATTATGTTCAATTTAATAATTTGAAGTCATTTCAGGTCATAAATTAAATTCGCTTATTTCCTAACTTAATGTCTTAAATTGAACAAACCAAAACATAATCGGATAAACTATAGTCTTAAATATAATAGTACCTACCTATAACTTTTTAAAATCTCCATCAGTAAATTTTTTGTTGTAGAATATATAAAATCAAAATAATTTTTCGTATACAATATGATATTATGATATCATTGAAATCAAATTTAATACCATCCATTACAGCGACCTCCTAGACACCTAATGTACAGTAGAGCGACATCCACTTACCCGCTTTTTGATCGTTAAAAAATTGATCTAAGTCAAGAGTACCTAGCTTATTTTTATGATTTTTTAAAATAACCCCATTTTTTGAAGTAAGACTCGTTTGAAAAGTATCTATAAAAAAAAATAGAATTAAAAGAGTACCTTTTTAAAAATGCTCATAAAACATTTAAAAGAAGTCTATACCTAGCCTAGGTAACCTAGGTAATTTTTGAATTCAAAATGTTCTTTTACGACTAGTTCAACTTAATTTAAAACAAACATATTGAGATTTAAAATAATTTAAAAAGATAAACTATATGATATCTAAATATTTTTAAAACAGAAAAATTCTATTTTCAGTATTGAAAAAATAAAAAAGAATACTTATATTATGCTGTTACACTCCCCATAGCATATCAAATTTATGTGTAAGCAATACAAAAGTGTATTATCTCGCCATACATTTTTGAAACACCAATCACGTGTTTTTGTTCTGAAGTGCGCTTTACCTCTGCTCATCTGACACGGTATATTCACATTATTATCAGCATTTAGCTTATGTGTTTGAATATTATCGCGTAATCATGTCAATTATCGTGTTTAAAAAAGACGGTGGTGTAAAATTTAGTTTAAATAAAGTTTTTAATATGACTACTACGAAAAAATCTTATAACAATTTGTAGGTATACACGTAAAATATTGTCCTTACTAAATATACTTAGAGCTATTTTTGCAATGAGTATTTAGTAAATTAACAGTCATAGATATGAAGTCAAAATAAATACATTTTGGGGAGTTGGCTACTACCAATAATAATTTACTACTTTTATTCTATAATGATGTTGGTACGTTTAATTATAGTACCTACTTAAATAATCTAATGTTTGCAGAATTTTTAGACCTATTCCGTTCTCTAGGGTATTCTACTGAACTTATAAAAATATACTACTGTACAATATTTTCAATGTTTAAAAACCGTTTTCCATTTTAAATAAATTTTTTTTTTACAGTTTGACGAACCTACTGAAGATCTGCCAGAATTCGTCGCCGAGGAAGAAGCTGGTTTCAAAGGTTAGTTGTTCACATGCATTAATTTTTTTAAATATAAAATCGAACCGTAACGGATTGTCCCTTAGAAAGATTCGTTTTTAAACTAGATCATACTATATAGTGTGACAGAACGATGATGGAATGTGAGAAAACACTTTGGTGGCTTTAACACTCATTTGTACCGCATAATATAAGGGGACATTATATGAGCTATTATTGTTCGGATGTGCCAGCTTCCTGTGTTTGTATTTCTTGACGCGTTTTTTTTTCATTTCACACGCATTGTTATATACGCATTGAGATTGAATTAAAACTATTAATTACTGACGCTATGTCTTTATTACCATTACTTACTTAACTAACTAACACATCGTACATAATTCTGTAACAATTTTTTATTCTGAACATAGTCTTAGTTAAATAATCGAATCGTATAGTATTTCGGTAAAATAGTGTTTTCTCTTCATTAAATTTTTTGATGCTGTACTATCCTGCATACGAATGCTCATCACATCATCACATTATTTATTATCATATATCTTCCACGTTATAATAATATTGTACTTCTATTAAATGTTTCGTTTCTCTCGTAAATAGAATATTTCACATTCTAATAGTCATGCGTAACTGATTGCGCCGGGGTTCAGCACAACAACGAGTATTGTATTAAAATTGACACTAACTTAAAACGGTATGAAAAATAAAAAATCATGAGGCAGTTTCGTTGCAGTGCTTTAAAAAAAATAAAAAACCTAACTTGATAGGTAGACAAATAAATTCCCTTATAATTTCCGAATGTGCGTGCGTCTGTGTGTCTGTACATATATATAGTTCAGTGGACACGCTCGTATTCTTGCGGAGAGCTGTTGACATTGGACAACAACGACGACGTCGACGATGACGGCATTATTATATTGCCTCTGGGTATTATATACAAAGCCGCAATCGCGTTTCCACCTGATTATTTCCGTTTTGACTTTTAACCCACTATAGACTTATTATTATTATTATTATTATTATTATTATTATTATTATTACGAGAAGCAAGACCGCGGTGACCACCCGAATTCGAAAAATCGTAATCACGTAAAACGAGACGGCGGAAGTCATGATGCATATATGTAGGTACATTATAATATGCGTACGTTGGTTGTTGTTGTATTATTGAAATTCTTGCGGGAGGACAAGAGGCGGTGACGGTGCCGCAATTACCGCAACGCATAATATCATCGTAATCATCATTATGTCGCGGCCGTGTCATTTCCGGTCGGTACACACACTCCCCGCTACTGTCGGCCTGCTTCTTCCCCTCATCTTATGGTCTCGGCATGCGGGGTAATAACGTCAAAAACTTTCCCGAGTCACGTCACTCAAAGTTGCTTTAAAACGCTCAACACTATAATACCTATGTATATATTTCGAAGCTGGGAACTAACTAATACCTACTTAAAATTTTACGATTCAAATTATTTTTTTATGGAAACTTTAAATTTGATTTTTTCTTTGGCTAGCAGTTAGTTATTATATTTTACTATTTAATTTTGACCTATCTTCTTTTAATTAACAATTGAAGTTTTTAGTAGGATGTGAGTTATGAAATTATGGATACACACCAAATTAAACTAATATTAAGTGTGAACGCGATGGGGTATGCTTAAGTAGAAATGTTAGTGATAAAAATAAGTTTACCATATTTGAGATCTATTTTAATACAAAATATATCCACAGTTAAAAGAAACACTAAACATTGTGTTTGTAAAATAATAATTTTGATTCAAATGTAGAATCTAATTGAGATTTGGGATCATCTATACTCTATAGTATTCTATACTAAAACTCTTGCCTAAGACCGCATAACGAATCTTACAGAACGACAAATAATTTAAGCTGTAATATTATAATTTATAATATCGAGAGTTTATTATATTATATTAATGTTATGCCAACAGGATTTGAGTCTTGTCACCGGTGTCCGTATACAGTATACACTATACAGTCATCTATATTCTATAATATATTATACTCTATATAGCCGCCCAATTAGCGCCATTCGAATTCAGATCTCTCCGTATTGTATGTGCGTATCGTGTAAAGTAATATTTATTTTTTTCCTCCGACACACGCACACATACAGTAATCGCGTCGTGTACACCGTACCGTACTCGGGCTATCCTAGACTCTTGTATACCCGTTTTTATCGTCAATTAAACTAAGAAACCCTGTACAGTATACACGATGTATGTACATAACGTATATAATATGTGTTTAGCGACCGTAAATCTGCAACGATAATAATCATGATATTAATAATATGACGTGCGCTGCTGCGCGAACATATTCGCACCACTATATTATTATATTACATACGTGCAATTCACGTGGGACCCGACGACGATGCATGATGCACTTGGCCGTTTGTAGTTATTATTTTTTTTGTCCCTTCTTCTACTGCTGTTCCTTCGGTGCGTTTTATTTTCTCTCCGACATCGTTAACAATTTAATTCATTATTATTATTATGATTATTATTGCCCTGACACGTGATGTATATAGTAATAGTTACGATTGGCGTCGTATACCGCGAAAGACCACTGCGCTAAAGTCCCCTGTCCGGCCCGTGTAGATTATTTTCACCTCAATCACTTGGCGAGTCCCCCCCCCCCTGCGTTATACACTCAGCTAACGATTGTAAGCCAATCGCGGCCAGCTGCCGTGTTAAGGATACACCGTCACCGTTAAAAATTGCCCTTTGGATTTTTTTCTTTCAAATTATCATTAAAAATATCGAGCATGACAAATCGGAAACGATAAACATTTGTTTTTAGTAGATTTGTTTACATATATTTCATAATTCCAAGAACCTAACAAATCTATTGAAATAGCCTAATAAATTAATTTGATAATTAACCCCTGCAGTTTACCCTTTCCTCATTTAAAATGTAAATAAAACGCTGAAATTGTAAGTAATAATATAATTTAATATTTTTTTTTCAGGTACTGAGCTCATGAGTTGAAAGATCCGAATTGAAATTTGTACAATAAAGAAATATACTATATATATATTAATAATATTAATATATAAATAATATATATATTATATATTATATATAACATAAATTGAAAAAATCCATATGGCTAGATAATTTATTACTTTTATTTATATATATATATATACACACACATCTACGTATGTATATAACAATATTGTATTGAGTTTTAAAGTAGGCGAATATTACTAAATAGTTTTTTTGAACACTTATGTATACATAATATTAGTGTTTATGTTAGTATTTATTTCAGGCTAAATCGTTAAAACAATTATATTTTTATATTATTTAAAAAAATGTTTTTAAAGGCTTTTTTTTAGACAGGGATATTTAAATTTATTTGTTTACTTCGAGTTAATTTATATTTGTGTAAGAAATGCGTGTGTTGATCATTTTAAAATATTGTCATCTCTCCGCCAATTGACGTCATCGTTGTGAAGCCGCTGGAGAGGAATTCGTTTCAAACTTTTATTGTTATATCGTAATTTTTAATTTATTATTATTATCATTATCATATTATAGTATTGTATATAAATATTTTTTTTTTGATAGCAACAAGACACTAAAAAGTTTTAATGAGATATTATGTGTGTTGCGTGTGTTATATGATAATGAATTACTTACTATTTTTGTATCTTGCTTTGATGTTAAATTTTCGCACATATATACTTTGTGTGTGAAAATAAAAATAATTTTTATTATAATAATAAAGAACAGGAACAAAACGATACCAAAAAAAAAAAAGATATTTGTTAATGTTATTTATTTTTGTAGGTTTTTGCGATCGACGATTAGAGTTCGTGGTATGGAGGTGGTTTGAATTGCTACTGTATATTAGCCAATAATAACGCGCTCCCGTCCCGTTATCATTGCGTAAAATATAATTTAATATAATCAGTCAAATTTAAGTAGCGGGCGTAAACATAAATCCATTCATTATAGTAATATTGTTGTCGTCGTCATACCCCAAGACGGTGAATGATTTATAGTGTGCCATCAGCGGCGGCGCAAAGTCGCTCGAAACTCCGTAAGTATATACAAGTCGTCCTGATATTGTTGTTGTTGTTGTTGTTGTTGTGGTGGTGGTGGTACCGATGGCTGGGTTTTCAACCCGGTAATTTGCTGTCTACGTCCACTTCTGTCTAGGTGGGAGGGGATGGGGGTGTGAAAACTTCGGTTTGTGGCGTCGTCGTCATTGTTTCTGTTTTTTTACAATATTTTATACTATAGGTATACCACGGATGAGACACGTTATTTTTAATATTGAAACATGAGTCATGGCATCGTCTTACACGGAACTTGCCGAAAACGCGAGAAAACGACTTTTCAATATTTGTGCAAGTGTATACCTAATGGCTAATACATATTATATTATATAATAATGTGCTATGCACCTTGTGTATTGTGTGTGAGTGCGGGTCCACGCACCTAGTTAGAGTATGACGTATGTTCGATGGTCGAGTATACTATGTAAATTGTAAAGCAGTGGTTGATGCAGGAAGGTGTGATGTTTGATTCACGTTTGAGTTGTCACAGGAGGAGAAAGTCTGCCAATAGCGACCTGTGTATAATAGATACTAATCTTTTTTTTATAATACTTTGTTTTCTATGTGATACGCATGTTTATAATTAATAAGCTCTTAAAAAAGAAATAGTAATATAATACGTAATTATAATGTATAATCATTAAAATTAGTACTGTCAAGTAAAATGTAGAGGTGTTTCAAATTTAAATAAGTTATTTATACGATATGTGTAGAAATACGAGTATCTGTAGACTATAAAGATATACAATCAAATACAGATTACATCTTGCCCTATTTGAAATTGTTCTATAAGTCGGCAAATCTATATAACTGATGCAGTGGTATATACTGGGACCTATTGCCAATCAATAGGTCAAACCTGCCCCTAAAAATGTAGTGTCTAGTGTAACTTGGTGTCGATCGAAATTTCGTAAGTTTTATTTGTACGAGATTAAAAATTGCATTCATCGTTTTATATATTGATAAAAATTCGAGCAGTAATTCCCGTTATATAACACCATTATTTAGTGCTATTCAGCAGTAGAATTTTCAAAATTAATGCTATGCCCAGTATAAAGTTACTTGTGGGGCTTACTTTCCTCCGCTAACTTTACGCAGTAGTTTCAAAGGTGGGTATAGGTTACTTGATATAATAATTGCATTCAGGTATTGTATGTATAATCAAAATTATAACATCGCTTAATCAACTGTTCGCAGCAGGTCTTGCAAATAACTGTACCCTAAAGTTACAGTTTTATGGTTTTCAATAGGACAATTATTATTACAAAGGAGAAAACATTTTTTATGCTATCATGTAATATAAATCATCAATGGGATCTTCCGGAGATGTTGAACTAATTCTAGGTACATACATACCATATTGAATGGGGTCAAAGGCATTTGCTACAGTAATAAAAATCACTTATTTAATTATTTTATAATGTGGTCGCATAATAATAGTGTACGGATTTCAGACGCTTCGTTGAATGATAAAAATGTTGCTGGATCTCTAGTCGATCTGATGACTGTTTATGAGTCATGGAGGAGAGTGAAGAAAAAAAAGTTCGGGTCGTTAGAAAATTTAGGCCTTATAGTTATAGCAACACGATGCCTCGAAATTCGCATATTACCTCAGTTGCAGGTAATAATACGCGATGAAAAAATAATATGACGAATGACGCCGCCCGTAACGTTTAACATTGCTTTTTCACTATTTTTTATAGCTCCTGATGAATATATTACCTATATATATAATTTTTTTATCATCATTACTGTTTTTATTTATCGAAATTGGAATACAACTATACCTATTTATTTTGTTTTACCTCGCTTTATATAAATTATCAAAACAAAAGGAGAAATAATTGAAAAGAAAAATATTATTACCAATGTGTATAATGAAGTGACGTATATTAATATTTTCAACACGTTAGAGAATTTTTTTTGCGATGGTAAACAAACTAACAAATAATTTGTTCTATACTAAGAACGGATTTAAATTTAAAGGCATATTTTTATAAAAAATAACATCTCTGAGAATACTTGATAAGCGATGATAAAATAATGAATGCTATGTATTCAATTTATAACATCAAGTGCTATCATAATGCTGGTACAGTGCCCATTGGTACAGTGGTACGGTGGCATAGTATAGTTGTTGCCATTACGCCGTTCGCATATACCAAAAAAAAATAAAAATACTCGTTTTCATAATAACGTTAAATATTGAACTTGCTTCATGTTGTGATTTCACGACTCGATTACAACGCAGCAAAGTGCATTATAATTTTTACTATATCATAAACGCATATATTATTAAATGTTCTATGGATCTCTATTAATACCTGTGTATGGCTGTATCATATAAGTCCGTATCGCCGAAATCCGTCGACTCGATGGTTATATATAAGTAGATAAGTAGATATGTGCTCACTATATAATGTAGGTAGGCCATAAAGCATTATAATATATTATATTATGTTTATCCTATATATGAAAACAATAGTCCCGTGCCATTTCTTGCTGCACGCCTACGCACTCGTACCTTTTATTCATGTAGGTAGGCAGGTATAATACGGTTTGTGTATATTATTATGTAATTATAACAAATGCGCTCGCGCTCAGATTTTTTTTCTCCTCAAAAACTGTTATTTTGGTAATCGCTCTATAAATGTACGTCCGACGTTTTACCGGGACGTATCTACCGACGACCACCCAGGTGTGCGAGCGAGCGAGTTTTTCCGTTCTTTTGGGATTTTGTTTTTGTTTTTTTAAACGTCAAAATATTTACGAATATCGTCGCCATTTGTAGGATGTCAGTTTCCTAGGCGTAAAAAATGCCAATCTCCCGGCCCGCGTATATTCCATATTTTGGAGTGCCTTCATTTAGTTTAAACACCGGGACTAAAGTATACACCAGTACAGTATACACCATTTATACACCAGGGGTCACCTGAAGTTAATATTTTTGGAGGGCCATTTTAGGAATTGGAGAAGTTTATGGGAGCCAATATAACTATTTCGGTTGTACAAACATCTTGATTTTTTTTATATAGCCAACCATTATTTATGTCAGCAGATATGGACGTGTTAATTTTTCTTAAGGTGATTTAAATTTATTACATTAAGACATGTCATACTGTATGTCTGTATATTATTTCGGTAATTGACTTATTTAGTATCATTTGTTAATACGATAGGTATGTAATTATTATACATATTATTATGCATACAATATTTTCAAATTGTATTTAAAACATCTTCCCTGTGGTTTTACAAAAATGATATAAACACTGAAAAAAAAACAATAGTTTTACGGTTTTTTTAAACCTAGAACTTCAATTTTTCAACTCTGATAATTCATGGATCCCACTATTTTTTTACATTTTACTTTTATTGACAAAACATTGGTACCAATATAAGTTGTAAATAATGTAAGTATATTATTGATGTGTTATTACTATTATTTTTTGCTAAGCAAGACGTCACCGTGATATGAATTAAAAATTTGAAAGTTCACTTTCAACTATTAAAGATATATAAACTAAATAGGTATAATAGTAATGAGGAGAAGTAATGCCAACTGCAGTTGATCCTCCGGTCCTCGATACCAAAGTAAAAAAAAAAAGGTATAATATTATGTGTAAGTTTTTTTTTATTCAATTATGTTTAGATTTTTTTTGACATTTGTTAATAATTTTATTATATTATTATGTGTAGCCGCCTATATGTAAGGCGACGCCTTTGACTAGTTTATTTATAGGAAAAATTAGAGTTAACAGATAAAAATAATAAAAGAAAAAGACATTACAATTCTCCAATGCCACAACATTTTGGAGGAGGGAGGGGTAGTCTTAAGTCTCCTACAAAACCTAAGAACTTATACATATAATAATATTTTTGTTTGTGAGTAACAAAATAACACAAATTTCTTCACAATTTTTTCTGGTGGCATTTAAAGTATATCGAAAATACTTTTCAAAATCGTCAAAATCGTGAATTATCTTGTAGACATAATTATATTGGCTGACAGACGATCTCCGCCCTGCAGTACCTTTTTTTATCATATTATATTCGTACCATGATTTTTTCATCCATTACAGTGACTTTCTCAAACTCAATGATAAGGTAGAGGACACCTAATTATACCACCTCATATATTTTATATTAGGAAAGTATTTAATATTTAAATGGAGGATTGCTAAGAGCAAATCGAAGTTGGGTGGATAGTGTAATGATTTGTCATATAGCTTTTTATAACGTTTTTTTTTATAAAATAAGTGGTTAAAAGTTATATGTAAATGTATGAATTTAGTACTTTAGTAAGTCTTTAAATTTATTTTCATATTTAGTTATTACTAAATAGTAAATACCTACTAATAACTTATTAGTTATATAGGCTTATCAGCTTAGTGGTAAATGAAATTGATAGGTATATCAGAAATTTGTAAAAAAAAAAAATTGGTAGGTAAAATAATAGGTATTTTAATTGTCTAAAATATCTTTTAAATGTTAACAAAACCAAGTATAGTTTTTGTTTTCATTGATCAATTTATACTTCTAATTCTAGAAAATTTAAAAGATCGATTTACTATTGAACACCCCAGATACACCCTTATCATAATATTATATTAATTTATGACATTAACTATGTAGACACCGACCTATCCATCTAGGAATGCTCTACCAATAAAATTGCTGTATAGAGTTTTACTGTAA